GGATCACCATGAGTAACAATACGTATTGAAGAATCCCAAATTCTACCACTTGATGTAAATGTGAACTGGACAGCAACTAAGAGCCAACAGTAGGCTTTTATGGACAGTGAGCCCATTCACTGCAGATGTCACCTCATGCAATCCAAGCTGACAAACTTATAAAAAAAGCGTACTACAGTCTCAGAGCTGTGGTCCAGAGGATTGCTATGATGCTACGAGTACAACTAAGCTGATGAAGAGGTTTTGTTTCTGGCTGCTGCTGTTCTCCATCTGTGACAGATCTCCCAGGCTAAATACACATATGGTTGTTTCATAACCCAGTTCTGTCAAGTGATGCTGGTTAGCCAGACACACAAATATGCAAATAAAGCTGCTGGCAGCAGTTCTGAATGATATCACTCCTAATCCAGCCCACTTGTTCCTAGTTTTGCCAGTTTAAACTGGCTGTAATTTAATTGTGCTTCAACACGCATCTGATCAATGATCAAGGTTAGAAAAAAGCCTCACTTGTTCTCCATGATATCTGTCATGGAGAACCTGATCCATCATGGAGAATAAGTGAGGCTTTTTTCTAACCTTTGTCATTTTATTTTTATACACACACTTTTATGTATGTATGCATACATATAGCATTAATACATATATTATTTCAGATATATGTATGTTGCCTATGTATATAATTTACAAGTTGATTAGCATATAGATGAGGAAAAACCATACCTAATCCATAGCAGGAAGAGGCAGAAGCAGACAGAAGACAACAATAACAAACTATCCTGTATTTCCTTGTGGAGCAAGTATCAAAATCATGCCTTTAACTACCATATAAAATGACCTTTTAATTCAAATCACCCCAGTGGAGAGAGCTGTACACAGAATTATAGAATCATTTAGGTTAGAAAGGATCTTTAAGATCATAGAGTCCCACCATTAACCTAATGCTGCCAAGTCCAACCACTAAACCATGTCCCTAAGCACCACATCTACATGGCTTTTAAATACCTCCAGGGGTGGTGACTCCACCACTTCCCTGGGCAGCATGTTCCAGTGCTTGACAACCCTTTTGGTGAAGACATTTTCCCTAATATCCAATCTAAACCTCC